ATTTATCAAAGTGTATCACTACAAATGGGATAAAAAGAAAATCCTAAGTTATATAGTGAAAGAAATTAAAAAAGATCAGGAAACAAATGACATCAGACATTCAACAGCAAGACTTAAAGTCAAAAGACAATGATTAGGGAAAAGTCTTAAAATTCTAATAAAAGCTTATTTTTAAACTAGAATTCTATAACAAAATTGCTTATTCATAAAGGCAAGATCTTGAAAAATGGACCACTGATGAGTCCTTTCTCAGAAGACTTACTGAAGGTTATAAACAACCAAAAACAAAAAAATTCCATTAGGAAAAACAAAGCATTAAGACACTCTTGAAAAGGCTCCCATGACTTCTGGGAGGAAAAACAAAACCCTTTATTAAGAGATAATAAAAAAGACCTAGAGATAAAATAGAAACTAAATATATATCATATTCTCACTCACAGAGATATTAGATTTTCTAACAATGACATAAATTCAATAAAAAAAACAGTTTGTGAAACTCACTTAAGCTAATCTAAAATGCACATGGCAGGACTAAAGGCCAAAAATATTACTAGACACTACTGAAGTCTTACTCTAACAGAGATTTATTTTAATGCTTTTCTAGTTAAGACAAAGATAATAATAGAGAAATAGATCAATGAAGAAAATAGACTGAAGAAACAGACATGTGTCATCTATTAGATATGGCATTGCAAAATAGTAGGAAATAGTTTCTCTCCTAATGCTGAGTTCTGAGACAACAGGGTAACCCATAGAGGGGGAAAATGTTAAAGGCAAAATCATAAAACTTTTAGAATATAACACAGTATTAGCTTCACAATCTTGAATCAGTAATGAAATTCTTAAACGCAATACAGAAGTACTAACTTTAAGAAAGAAACTGGCAAACTAGACCCCATTAAAATAATTTCGTATTCTTAGAAGCACTCCATTAAAAAAAATGCAAATATAAGCTACAAAATGTGAACTTACTTGCAACAGCCATAACCAACTAATGGTTAAAATCCAGACATTACAAATACATAAGAAAAAGACATCCATAAGAACATAAACAGGGACTTGAACACACAAGAAGAAATCCACATTACCAATAAGCCTATTTAAAGACTCATTTATTAGTAATCAGAGAAAGAACCACAATGAGAAATATACCAACATCAGGCTGTCAAATCTGACAATACCAAATGTTGAGGATGCTGAACAAAGAGATTTTTATACGTTGCTCCTGGGAGTGGAAATTGGTATAGTTTGGTATGGTCTAGTAAAATTAAGATATACTACTCTACAACCCAGCAGTTCTTCTCCTGAGTTAAGTCTTAGCAAAATTAATGCATGTATACACCAGTACTGTGTATAACAGTCAAAATGTAGAAACAACTGCTATACCCATTAACAATACATAAACAGTGGGGTTCTATGCAACAATGAAAATGTACTGATCATCCTTCCAGGTGATGATAAAGGCTCACAAACACAACACTGACACAAAAGAATGCAATCAAGAAGATTACATTCATATAAAGTTCAAATGTGTACAAAATCAAGTTTATAATGTTGAGGAGTACACACCTACATAGCAAGCTATAAAGAAAAACAAATGAATGAATGACTAAAGAGAGGATAGTGGTTTCCTTTAGAGGGAGAACGGGATCAAGTCAGAAAATTGATTCACTAAGGATTCTAGGGTGCTGGCAAAATTCCTATACCCTGACAGATCTAATATGAGTTCACCTGATTATCATTTTTAAATATACATATTTTTGTACTTTTCAACAGAAAGATTTTGTACTTCACTTTTTTTTAAAGGCACATCCCCATCAGTGCCATAAAAAGAATCACTTTCTTCAGGTAGTCAGTTTAGCTTCAGTTCAAACATAACTTTAGGTCATTTTTTGGTTGTTGTTAAATACAACAGAAGTTCAAAAATTAAACAAAAAGCTGAGGAAAGTTACATATCTTCATTTAAGTCAATTAATAGTATAAAAAATAAATATAAATGAAAATTTTTCAAGCAAGAAAATAACTGCTACAAGTTGTGTAATGCTGGACTAAGGATAGAATATAACTACATAATGGAAAAATGATTTAAACTACACAAGATGATTGCCTGTTTACAATTTAGTTTTATAAGTTACTAATTTCCATACTCTATAATAGAATGAATTTTAGAAAGTGTTCCACTGCATGCTTCTACATACCACGTGAAGTTCTGATAGCTTTTTCTCTATGTAGAAGGAAGTTTAAAAATCTAAAATTTCTAGGGAGTTTTGGAAAACAAAATATTTTAGGTAAAAGAGGCAAAACAGGTCACATAAATCTAAATTTTCTTCAAAAAAAAAACTCATTTCAGGCCTTCCCTGGTGGTGCAGCGGGTTAAAGCATAGCACTGAGAAGCTAAAGCCACTTTAGCATGAGTTGGATCCCTGCCCCAGAGGTAATCCACATAGTGTGGCAGACCTCTCCTGACCCGCCCACTGCTCCTCAGCAGTGTACTTCTTCAGTCCCCCGTTCTGCTCCCCACTCTGTCTCTAATGAATCCTCTCACCACCCCTGCACCTCTGACCTGTACCCCAGTCCCATATGCATAAATAAGTAAATCTTTTTAAAAACTCATTTCATGTTATAATCCAATCTTAATTTTAAAAGGCAATAAAATAGCATTTAACAAACAAACCAAAAAAAATCAGCCTATTCCTTGGAAGCACAGAGTAGTGAAATGAAAAAGACAAAGAAATTATGCTTTTCAAATATCACACTAAAACAATCAAAAGCCACAAAAATTATCCTTGACACAATTTTACAGTGTTAAACTACATGGAGTCTCTTTTCAGAAATTTTCAATTTACTCCTTCTATAGAAAGGTAACATTTCTCTTTGCAGTCATTAAAGAATTAAGCCAGAAAGTTAGTGCACACAATTGCCAAGGAAACCAGAGAAAATGGTTTACTATATTCATATATCCCTTTTCCTGCTCTATCCAATATTTTGCTTTTATAAGCTCAAAATGCCTTAACAATAATTTTGACCATTTACTGAGCCCTTTGTATATGCCTTATACTTATCTCCTTTAGCTCTCACACACTCAGGAATAAGTTTTACAGATGAGGAAAGAGATGTGGAGTGACTTAAGTAACTTGTGCAAGGTCACAGGCTGCTGGTGTGAGTGAGGGAGCTGAGATACAGCCCAACTCCAGAGCCTTAAGACTCCAGTGTAGTCTTAACACTAAACTTTTTATACAATACAACATTTACACCATGGAAATAGCACAAGGGTCACCTGCTCCCTTATAACTAAAGGATTCCAGGTACTGTACGGATTTATGTTTGCCTTCTCTAGACACCCACATAGTCACAGAACATTAATGGGTTGAATAATCTAAGCATTTAGAGAAATCTATGATTTTCCAACTAAGAAGACCGAAACTCAGAATAGCTAGTTGCTCCTGTCCGGGACCACAAGCTGGTTTATGACAGCCAGCACTGGATGCAGTTCTTGACTCCCAGGAATGATCCTCCCACTGCACTAAAAGCCCTTCTACCAGAGGTCTATACTAAAAGCCTTGCTGAACCCATATTCACCCTCCACACAACCCTAAAGTGTACTTTGCAAACTTTCACACCATATAACAGCTTCAACAGCACCCACAAGTAAACAGCATAATTCTTTCATTTCAACAGAAAAAGAGACAGACACACTGTGTGCTAGTGCATTTGGTGAGCCTGAACATGTAGGCTAACTGTGACTCCTGCACTTACATAAAAGCTAAGCTTGGTTACTGTATGTAACAAGTGTTACAGTAAATGTGTGGACATTGTGTCTAGAAAGCACAGGGAAGACTGGATATTTCTTTAGCCTGAGTAAAGAAAAAGCCAGGAGACTGTGATGCATTTGAGTGGAGCAAAGGCAGTAGTGTAACGGTGCTCAGACGTGTGGGAAAATGCCATCACTTGTACAGAAGGATGCTTCAAGTCAACAATAACAATAAACATGAGGTCAGAAAACCTGCATGAAAATCTAAGTTGTGACCTGTGTGACTTTGAACAATTTGTGAGTCTCAGCCTCCTCATGGATGAAATGTTGAGACTACCGACCTGCCTTCTTGCAGGACTTTTGCCAGGCACAATGATGTGAAGATACTTTAAAAACTACAAAGCCCTGCATAAACCACATATTTTATGCATAAGCATAAACTACATATTTATGTTTTCACCTCTAGGCAACCCTGCGGATCCTTCCCCATAAATTGTGTTTCAGAAAATCCTCACCCTTCAGGATGAAAATATTCCGATGACATCATTCATCTACTCCCTGAGAACTAAGCAGTTAACATTAATGCCTTCAGGTTGAAACATCAAGCCGCTTTCTACTAAAAGAAAAATGTATAAATACATGTATTTCTAATTTCTGAGGCGCTTGTACTGCCTTCTAGGTCACGCTTATTGCGATTATATTTAGACTCTAGTGCCGGATGCAGGTTTTCCTCTGGAAGTTTTCTATCACGAAATCCATTCCATTTTAAAGTATGTTGTCAAGCAACCAACTCACGAACAGTCTGCAAGTGGCGATCATTTTGCTCCCCTTCCAAAGTATTAGCTCTGATCCAACCAAGCACATGCCCCGGGCACTAAAAGGGGAACTATTTTCGGACACACAAATGCAAAGAACTATACATCCAGTAAAAAGAGAGTATCCGATTTTAAAAACTAGCTGAGGACTACGACCCCTTTCCTCCGCAGCTTGACAGAGTCGATGCTAAAACCTCGCCTCCCTTTGGTCATCGCTCTTCAAGCCCCGTCCAGGCCCCATTCTGCTCAACCTCGGACCCCACCGAGTCATTCCCTGGAAGACAACCGGTTTCAACAAAGTCCCAGTGCGCGTCCACAGGGCCCACAGCAGGGCGAGAGGCAGGAAGGGAACCCGCGAGCCAGCAGCCCTCTGGCCCCTCGGGCCGGCTGCTGTATCCTCTCGCCGGCGCAACTTCCCGTTTTCTCCCTCTTACCTTGTACACTTTCCCGAAGGCTCCGTCGCCCAGTTCTCCTATAATTTCCCAAAACTCCTCGGGGTTCAGGTCCCTCTTCACATGTTCATACTGCTTCTTCTTCTTATCGCTTCCCAACTTGAAGATCTTACGGAAATTGAAGAAGGACATTTTCCCACCCCACAGAGTTCCTCGGACTTAAGGACGAAAAACAATAAAAGGCAAAGTTTCTCCTCCCTCCTCTCAGGCGCGGGCTCTCCCGGCTCCCGCCGCTCCGTCCCGGGAAGGCGGGGCGCGGCTCGGGCTCCGGCCGAAGGGATGGGGGGGCTGCGCGGGGGGCCCCTCCCTCCGAGTCCGGCCCGTGGGCGGCGCGGTGGGCGCCTGGACCCCGGCCAGCCCTCGGGGGGCGGCACCTAGCCGGACGCCTGTCCCCAACCGGCCCGACGGATCCGAGCGGTCCGGACGCCGCAACCGCCGCGGCTTAGGCCCGCGTCAAGGCGAGTCTCCAGGGGCGGAGGCCACTCCGGGCGAGGGACGCGGCCGGTGGCGTCTGAGGAGGACAGTCGCCTGGCCGAGCTCTCCCGCCGCGAGCAGCCAGCCCCGAGTCTCCTCCGCAGCCGTCAGCTCCCGCGGCGAGAGGCCCGCGCGTCCCCTCGGCTCTGGGGCGCCGCCACCGCCTCGTTCTCTCCCCAGCCCACACCGCCTCGGCCTGATGCGCGCGCCCACGCCGACGCCGC